AACCTCGTTATTTACAGTAGTTTGCCAACCTCTGCTCTGGCCCCATCATTAACAAACCTTCAAAACAAACTCAATCTTAGCTGTCATCGAGGTGACAGATGTTGCCGCCAGAGAGCCCGGCAAAGATGACTATGGGTATGAACCTTCCGAGAACAAACCACATCCAAAAGCACAGGCGACCACAGGCGACAAAAGCAAAACTTGACAAATGGGAGTACATCAAATGAAAAAGCTTCTGCACAAAAAAAGATATACATCAACAAAGAGACACTACAGAATAGGGGAATATCTGTAAACTATTCATCTGAAAAAGGATGAACATCCAGCATACATAGGGAACTCTAAACAACTCAACATCAAAATGGTAATAATCTGATTTTAAAATGAGATAATTTTCTAGTAAGGCTAGCTAAAAAGGTTGACCTCAGAAACAGCAAGTAAAACAGTAGTTGCCAGAGACAGAGAAGCATAGGGTAGAGGAGGGGACTGGACAGAGAGGATGGCTAGCAGGCACAAGGGTACAGGTGGATAGGAGGAATCATTTCTAATGTTCTACAGCACAGTAGGGTAACTGTGGTTGGCAACACTTAACTGTGTGTTTCAAAAGCTAGTAGAGGTCCGGGGATTTATCTCAGTGGTTTCGCCGCCTGCTGCGCAAGCACAAGGACCCGAGTTTGATCCCCAATACCAAAAAAAAAAAAAAGGTAGTAGAGAGGAATTAAAATGCTTCCAACACAAAGAAATGAAAAATGTTTGAGGCAATGGAGATGTCATTTACCCTGATCTGATGATTACACATTATATACATGTATTAAAATATCACACTACACCATCTAAATATGTACAATTATGGTGTCAATTAAAATAAAAAATATATTAAAAACACAAAACATGCATAAAAAAGAGAACAAGACATTTCTATTCTTACTGATTTGGATGAAGACATTTCTTGGTTTTCTTCATCTCTTTCCCTTTTTTGGGGAGATGGCTGAAAGTAGTTTCTAATGGTATTTGTCTGTTGCTGCTGAGAAGCACGATCTCTACTTCTTTTTTTTGGTACCGGGAATCGAACTCAGGTCCTTGCGCTTGTGCGGCAGGCAGTGAAACCACTGAGCTAAATCCCCGGCCCCTATCTCTACTTTTATTTACACTTGGGAATTTAGTTGGTGAAAGCTGACAGTTTTGGATATTTGCCCTAACCAGAGTATTTGATGCTATGTTATTATTGGAGCTTGTTTTGGGGGCTTCTTTTATAATGGGTATTTCTTGTGAAGATGATCCACATTTTTGTTCTGTTTTGGAGATTTTTATTACTTTTGGCTTTTCACTCAAATACATACATGTGTGTGCCTGGTCCGATTCTGTGTCAGCTACATATGTTGCAGTGTTCTCAGGAGCACTTGACATGAGTTTTTCACTGACTCCCAGTCTTGTGAAAGGCTTGGCTGTGGAGTCTTTGTCTTTAATCCTCTGCTGGGATGGCCCTGAGGATCACAGTAATTCTCTGTAGTCATGAAAATAACTGCCAATCCAATTTCTGCTTCAGGAATAGGTCTAAGACCCTGCCTTTGGAGTATATCCATAATTGAGTGAATCCATTTTTTCTGGGAGTTGGGAATTAAGATCTGTGTATGTTATTCCTACGTAAATAACACAAGTTCCAGGAGCTGAAAAAAAAACTATCATCTTCTTCATTTTCTTCGGTTATTAACCTAGCTTCTCCACCTCCAAAAACAACTGCTGAACTTAATTTCTTATGCTGTTTGGCATCTAAAAAAATAAATGTTTTCCCTTTGAAGCTTGGTTTTCTTTTCTGTCGTCCTGACAGATATCGATATTTTTACTTCCAATGGCTAGTTCATCAACAGGTGGGTAAAAACTTTCAATTTGTGGAGGCTGTTTCTTGGACAGAACTGCTTTAACAAATTCAGTAAAATATTCTGGCTTTACAATGGGATGTTCACAAATGAGTGCACATATTGTATAAAAGGAGACGAATCATTTTCCCAATGTCATTCTTCAATTAGCTTTGGACATAAACAAATTTGAGGAAGATGCAAAATTTTAATGATAACTTTAACTGATATCATAACAAGCTGAGTACATTCTTCTGTCCAGTTGTTTACTGTAAGTCCTCCAAGTTGTAATATAGCTTGATTTAAAGCAGTTTTCCCAGAGACATCTAAACAAGAGGAGCATGCAACCAAAGGCTCATATTCTACTCTGAATTTACTTTCAAACACACCAAAGGTAACTCTATCCCGTCTTCAAAGTTCGAGAAAGCCGATTCTGCATTTTTTCCTCATTAACAAAGGTACCATACTTAGAATTATCTTTTATTGTTAAAGTAGGAATTTAACTGCTTTTGCTGCTTTTCCTCTTTAAATCATGAATATGACATCATAAACAAGAATAAGTTTTGGTTAGAGTTTCTGTCTTATAGTAAAGTTTACTTTCTGTGTAGAAATTTCATTAATGTTTTTCTATGCCAAGTTAGTTACAGAAAAGTTAGCAGTTAACACAGCATGATTTCGACTGATGGACTGATCATTGGCAATTAAAATGGCAGAGTTTTTCCTTCCAACAACATACTCAACACCAGTCAAAAGTCTATATGGTTCTCCTCGAGCCGGGCCCATGACAGGTAGCAGCTTCCACATGGGTCCTAAGCAGATCACTCTTACCATGATATGCAGCCTCACCAGAGGCCAAAGCACCAGGGCCACTTCATCATAGATCGAAGCCTCCAAAATAAACTAAAGCCAAAACAAACCTCTTCTCTTTATAAGTCAGTTGGCCTCAGTATTTTGCTTAGCATACATGAAGCCCTGTTTTGGATCCCTTGTATGACAAATAAAGATTAATTTAAAGTTTAATATCTAAAACAGTCAAGATGGATATATAACCTAGTAAAGTCAACTTCAAAGATAAAGGAAAAAAGTCTGTTAGGCAGTTGCCCAACAAAAATATAGCAGATATACAGAAATCTTATATACATATACTGTATACATATTTAGGAGAGTAGGGTAGCATTAGAGACTTAGCCCAGGGCCTTGTACACAGTAAGTGCTCTACTACTGAGCTACACCCCCAGCCCATTTGGGTCAAAAGGGAATAGACAGGGCCCGGGATTTAGCTCAATGGAGCCATACCTGCCTCGTAAACACAAGGTCCTGAGTTTGATTCTTGGCACCGAAGTGGAAAAAAAGAAGGCAACAGACAAAGCAAAGAGAGGAATTTTGTAATACTAAAAAGTACAATTTCAAATAAAGATATAAATAGTGATGACTGTGTACCAAAGAACACAGCATCAATATTCATTAAAAAAAAACTATTGGAAATACAAAGTGAGATAGATACACTAACAATGAAAGTAATGTCTTTTCTTAAAATTGAGAGACTAATTAATACAATTATAGATTATAGAAGACACAAACATTAGTTTACATTTAATTATGTGTATCAAATTACACATTGAAAGCACAAACTCAGGCCCTTGCACTTGTGAGGCAGGCGCAGCACCACTGAGCTACATCCCTGACCCCTATACCTTTTCTTTTTTGTTAGAAGGGGTCTCACTCACTCTTCTTCAGACTGGCCTGGAACTCCCTATGTAGCCCAATCTGGCTCCAAACTCTTATCTTCCTGCCTTAGCCTTCCAAGTGCCAGGATTATAAGCATGTGCCACCACACCTGGCTGTATATCTTCTTTTCAAGTACCTATGAATCATTTACAAAAATGTATTCTATACAAATATACACAGAACATTTCAACAGAAATCAAATATAGATTAACATTCTCTGGCTATGACACAACTAAAAATTAATAACAAAATGCCCCTAATACCTAAAAATATTTAAATTCACTATTAAACAACTTTGCTTCTTCTTTAGTCAAAGAAGAAATAAAAATACACTGTTGAACATCAAGAAAATAAACATGAAACCAATACATACAAGAACTACTATAGCTGGGCTGAGGATTTAGCTCAGTGGTTTCGCCGCCTGCTGCGCAAGCACAAGGACCCGAGTTCGATGCCCAGGAGGCTGAGGTAAGAGGATCTGTGAGTTTGAGGCCAGCCTGGGCTACATAGTGAGTTCAAGGCCAGCTTGAACTACATAGCAAAACCCTGCCTCAAAAGAAAAAAAAAACCCCAACAAAACAGTAAGGCTGGGTATGTAGCTCAGTGGTAGAGTGCTTGCCTTGAATCTGATCCCCAGCATCACAAAGAAGAGGAAGAAGAGGAAGAAGAAAGAATTACAATAAATTAATAGCAACAAAATAGAAAAAAGATATAAAGATATAGCAATTTTCTACCTGGTTAGTGCTATATAAGAAATACACTGATTTCCACATATAAGTTTGTATCATGCTACCTATTATCTGTGATAATATTTCAATTTTCCTAATACATAATCATTTATTCTGAAAAAGGCAATAGGTTTACCTCTATGTTCCTCATTTTTATAACCCCAACTTCCTTATCTTTTTGTTGGTTAGCACCTCAAATACAATGTTAAATAACAATGTTGACAGTAGATAACATTGTTTTATTTCTGAGTTTAAGAAAATGTTCTCAATGTTTCTCTTTTAAACATAATGTTCGGGCCAGGGATTTAGCCCAGTGGTTCCGTCACCTGCCTCGCAAGTCACCTGCCTCGCAAGCGCAAGGACCAACATAATGGTCGGTCCAGGCATGGTGTCACACACCTGTAATCCCAGTACTTGGGAGGTTGAGGCAGGAGGATCACTTCGAGTTCGAGGCCAGCCCGGACTACATAATGAGTTCAAGGCCAGTCTGAACTACATAGTAAGACCCTTTCTCAAATAAACAAACAAACAAACATACATATATATAATGGTCAATAACCTTTTAAATAACAATTCTCTAATGTTTCTTTACTCCAAACAGCTTATTCAAATCAGAGCCAACATATTTGATTTGACACAGAAAAAAGCATTACCTGTAACATTTTAATTATTTCTCCTTTGAACTTACTTTATAGTATTTGCAAAGCTGACTCGACGAGAGCTTTTCTTATTTCTCAAAGCATTGGATTCCTAGGCAGAGAGAATATATGGTATAATTCTTAATGAAACCACTGAGAATTAGTTCTTCAGAGTACCAGATATAGAGATCAAGTCTTATTCTGAATTAATTTGTTATGATTTACCAAAATATCCCAATTTAGAGTACTTAATGAACATGAATATAATTTTCAATGAGTTAAAATAAGTAAGTAAAATAAGTATATTGATACGAAAAACAATCAAGACAAGGAACAAAAGTAATGCGTTACCTATCATAATGACCTTATTATAATAAAGATTTTTTTAAAATTTTAATTGTAGTAAAATGTATATATCACATAACATAAAATGTTAATTGTCAGGCCAGGGATGTAGGTCAGTGGTTTCGCCGCCTCCTGCCCAAGCGCAAGAACCTGAGTTCGATCCCCAGTACCAAAAAAAAAAAAAAAAAAAAAAGTTAATTGTAGAATCTAGTTTATGAATAGATGAGCACTCACTGTAAAATTCTTTCTATCTTTTGATATGTTTGAAAACCTATTAAACCAGGTGTGGTGGCACACACCTATAATCCCAGGACTGTGGAAAGCTGAGGCAGGAGGACTGCAAATTCAATCCTAGTCTGAGCAATTTAGTGACACTCCGTCTCAAAATTTTAAAAAAGTCTGGAGATGTAGCTCAGTGTGAAGGCCTTTGGTTCAATCCCCAATACCAAAGGAAAGAAAAAAAAAAAGGAGTAAAAAGAATAAGGGACTGTATCTCTACAGAGATCATAGCATGTATAAGTACTTGTAGGTGGGAAGCTTATGTCTTATTTGGAGAAAAACAAACAACTCTGAATGGTGGGATACACGTGTGAGAGAGGCAAGAAAAAAAGGCTGAAAAAATAGGGTTTAAAGATTATTAACAACCGTATAGTCAAGTTTTTGGATTTTTTTCCCCAATGCTTGGGATCAACTGAGAACCTTGCATATGCTAGGCAACCATTTGACCACTAAGCTACATTTCCGACCTATTAAGCGTTTGGATTTTGGCCTGAAGGCCATAGAATACTTAGCCGCACACATTCAAACAGGAATCATTTATGATGTTGTTTTCCTATAGCTAATAAATTCAATTAGAAATAACACTTTGAGGGCCGGGGATTTAGCTCAGTGGCACCGCGCCTGCCTCAAAAGTACAAGGTCCTGAGTTCGATCTCCGGTACCAAGAAAAAAAAAAAAAACGCTTTGAAAATAGTAATCTATAAAGCATTTGTACTACTTACCTGAACTGTTTCATTCCCACTTCTGAGGTCCTGAAGAGGACTCCTTGGGGGTTTCAAAATCTAGAGGCAATAATTAAAGATTATTCAAGAAGATCTGGCATATCTGTTAATAATCAGTATTTCAAGTTATCCTATGAGTAGAAAGCAAAACTTTCTATAAAAATCTGGGAAACTCCTCAAAGTCATATTGCTCAGTATTTTGTGGCAGATTTAAATAACTGACTGTTCCTGGTCCTCTCCCTGATTATTTTGCTCCTTCTTATCCCATGTGCTGTGTGAAGCTCTACATCAATTCTAGGGTACAGGAAGTAGCCCTGTCTAGAACTACCAACAGGATTCAGTTCTGAATATTTCTTTTTTATTTTTATCTTGAGGAACTAGATACCATTCTTCAGATAGGACATGAACTTGGAAATAAGAAAATCCAGGTGTATCACGGAGTAATCACAGGGAGAGAGTATGTCTGCCAACAGAGATTGCCCAGAGGAAACAGTCAACAGGAAAAGAAAGGAAATCCTAGTAGAGTTACAATGTTAGAATCCCTAGTCAGTAAGTGGTGTCCAAAGCCATATGTCTCTATGATTTTTCAGTCTTATAACCCAATGTACATTTTATGCTTAAATCAGTTTCACCGGATTTTTGTGTCTTACAACAACTTAGTACACTAGGTTAAATATAGTTTTAAACTGCTTTATTAAAGTATGATTAAAATAGTACAAGATTCATTCAGTTATATTAAAACTCATAACATGAATTTTTACAGAATTTACATATTTATGGAATTGTGTAACCAGGTATTTGAGTCTTTATCCAGAGGACAATAGGAAGCCAGCAGGGGTTGCAGGGGAAGCCAGTCAAATTTACTGTGGTATAGAGTCATCATTCAACAAAAGGTAAGAATTATTAATGTAAATGCTTCTTACTGAGGAATGCCGTCTTCTAACAGGTCTCTCTGTATTGTCACTGAAAAAAAAGGAAAAAAGAACTATGTATACATAGGTAAAAGACTGAATTTCCAAAAGCCATCATTACATTGCCCCTTCCCTGCTATGGCCAGCTGACATCACTTTCACTTAGCACTCTGGCCAGCACAATTTATATTCCAGCACAAGACATCACATTCAGCATTTAGGAATTCAATGTTGAGTTTTTCATTTCATTTTGTTTTTGCAGTTGTAGGGATTAAACCCAGAGTCTTGCATATGCTAGGTAAGTGTTCCACCACTGAATTATAACCTCAGGGCTGTTTTTAATTTTATTTTGAGACAAGATCTTGCTAAATTGCCAGGCTGACCTCAAACTTGTGATCCTCTTGTCACAGCCTCCCAAGTAGCTGGGATAATGTGCACCACCATACCAGGCAAATTCAGTGTTTTAAAATATATATTTGGGCTGGATGTGGTGGTGCGCACCTATAATCCCAGCACTCAGGAGGCTGAGGCAGGAGGATCACTGTGAGTTCACAGCCAGCCTGGGATACATAGTGAGTCCAAGGCCAGCCTGAGCTACATAGCGAGACCTTGTCTTTAAAAAAAAAAGGTACCACAAGACTGGCTTTTTAAAAAAGAAATGATTGCAATTTTATTTTAAATTTCAAAATTATTTCATATGCTTGATTCATAAAATCAAAATCATGTGCATGATTACAAAAAATAGGTCCTTTAAATACTGACAAAGTCTTGTTTATTTTTGTTTTTTACATTTTGGGGTTTGAGACAGGGTCTCACTGTGTAGTTCAGGCTGGCCTTGAACTCATGGCAATCCTCCTGCCTCAGCCTCCCGAGTGCTGGGATTACGTGCACTGCCACATCCAGCCAAAGACTTGTAACAATACATATTTTTCAACCAAATTTCCTATTTGTATAATACAGTAAAAAACTAACAATAAAAAGTATATATAATTATTTCAGTGTTCTCTCTTCAAATATATGGCTTGGAAGAAGGTTACAAAAGTGTTCACATCACTTTAAAAATCCAGATACAGGTGAGGCATGGTGGTGCACGCCTATTATGCCAGCACTTGAGAGGCTGAGCCTAGGCTACATAGTGAGTTCAAGGCCATCCTTGAACAAGATCCTATTTTGGAAAAAAAGAAATCCAAATATAAAGCAGCCAATAGGTTTATATTAATTGTAACATTTTCCCTCTGTTAAGAGTTTTTGGTTTTGTTTTTTCTTTTTTGGTACCAGGGATTGAATTCGGGACTTTGTGCTTACGAATCAGGCAGCAGAACCACTGAGCTAAATCCTCAGGCCCTGTTAACAGTTTATCTACTGTGAGTCACAGACGCTCCATGAAGGGTCATCAATTAAGAATCTTTCTAGGTTAGAATCACAATCAAAATTTGAGCCTTTTTTTGTGTTTGTTGCTTGTTTGTTTTGAGACAGGGTCTCACTATGTAGTTCAGGCTGGCCTTGAATTTACTATGTAGCCCAGGCTGGCCTGAAACTCTAGGCAATTCTCCTGCCTCCGCTTCCCTGTGCTAGGATTACAGGCACGTGCTACCATACCTGGCAAATTTTGAGCCTTTCATCAAAAAAGTATGGAAACATCTGATCTTGGAAGATGGGTAGGTGCCAATAATTCACAAAGTGGTATCCTTCAGATAATGACACTTTTTTTTTTTGACAGATGACAGTCTTAACTAAGCTTCACAGTGGCCTCTGAGCAAGTAGCAGTTCATTTTATCAAACAAAAGTCTTTAAGGCTGAGGGCACTGGGTCTCTGGAGTTGATTTGGAGAACACATACAGAATGCAGTGATAGTGAACCTTTTAGAGACCGAGAAAGTGCCAACACTGCAATTAAACTTGAATAGTTTAGAAAAAATAGTTATCCAATGCTCTACTACTGGGACAACTTGGTTTGAGTGTCGACAGAGAGGGTGCTGAGGCATGCATTGCCATAGGTTTACCACCACTGGAATAGGGTGTCATTTCTTACAAGGTTCCTTTTCCAATTTGCTTGTAGTTTCTTTCCCTTATTTAACTTCTGTCTGAAGCTTTGATTCAGTATCTAACCTGGCAGAGTGGGAGGCATTTCCACTTCTTTCACTTAAGGCTTTGTATTAGCTGGAACATCTATGAGCTTCACACATTGTTCCTTCTTTGGCTGCATATCCAACGGCAGATTTTTGTGAGGAAAGAAAGTGGCTGTGGGCTTTTATAGAAAGTGATTTTTCTAAATGCAAGCTGCTATCTTCTAAATTGTTAGGACAAAGGCTGGGGATTTAGCTCAGTGGTGCTGCTGCCTGCCTTGCAAGAGCAAGGTCCTGAGTTCTATCCCCAGTATCAAAAAAAAATTGTTAGGACAGGATTGTGCCTGCTCCTTCTGAGGTGGAAATCTAATTTCTTCCCCTTCAGAATTGTTGGCACATATTTTTTGGGGGGGGGAGGTGAGAAAAGGTCTTGCTGTGTAGTTCAGGGTGTCTCTGAACTCACTATGTAGCCCAGGTTGGGCTCAAACTTGTAGCAATTCTCCTGCCTCAGCCTCCTGAGTGCTGGGATTACAGGTGTGCGACACCATGCCCAGCTTGGCTCATATATCTTTAGGGGTCGCGCCTTTTTTTGAGAACAGATGAGATAGGAAAGTGTGGCAAAGCTGGCTGGGACAGTAGGCATGACCTATTAATTATAAGACCCAATGCCCTGTACCTGGACTTTTCATCACAACTGGAGCAGGCTTTCAATAGGATGCCTAGACCCGAAATCAGCTTGAGGTGTGGGATCCCACCAATACCTCTCAGGACCTGTATGTAGAAGTTCTTGTGGGTTTCCTTGAGATTTGGACAGCATAAAAGGACACACTGACACCATGAAGAGTTTGCTATGGTAACTTTCCACATAGCCTGTGCTATGTTTCCCAGACACAGTGTGTCTTTATTTATATCTTAATTCTTACCCTCTTTTTCTTTTTATATGGGCCAATCTTGCTCTACAAAACCAGTTTCTCCCTCATTCTTCACTTCTGCTTTCTTAAATAAAGTTTGCCACTGCTTTTTTGCTTGTTTTGTTCAATTCTTTGTTCGAGATGAGAAGAATCAGGAATCTTACTCAAGAAGGAGAGCCAAGCAACCCATAACCCAGTAATGTATAGTTGGCGAACCACTTTTAAAAGCAGACTACCTGATAACACAGATACTTCAGTTTTCTCTTCAGGTTCATACTTTAGCTTTAATTCATCTAATTTAGCTCTAATTTTTACATTTCACTTTCTGAAAGCTGGAGAATTCATTTGCAAAAACTTTTCATTCAATAACCAAGGCCTGCTGGGCATGGTGACGCATACCTGTAATCCCCTCAATTGGGAGGTTGAGGCAGGAGGATTGCCATGAGTTCAAGGCCAGCCTGGGGTACATAGTGAGTCCAAGGCCAGCCTGAAGTACACAGTGAGACCCTGTCTCACGAAAAATTTTTAAAAATTAAAAAATAGCCAAGGCCTGCTGGCTCTCAAATAATGTTTTCATTCACTGTATGGACAATTTACCTTTAATGCTTTCATTTTCTTTAAATTATCAAATTTTAGCTGAAGTAAATCTATATAGTAGGTATCATCTTCCAGAGCACCAGAGGTGGCTGGTATGGAAGCCTTAGATTTTGTACAAATTCTTAAATTTCTCTAGATTTCTGTCACCTAAAAGATATTTTATTTTACCATTCTTCTGCTCCAACATGCCAAACAACCATTCCTGCTGCACAAATTCAGTTTGAGAGCCTTTCATCCACAGCAGTATTGCAATATATAGCTTCATTCTTTTGCATCTGTTCTCTATTGAATGCATTTTGCTTCTTTAGTGACCGACATGTACTTGACTTTCACAGAGATAAACTAGCATTCCATGGCTGCCCTCCCATCTTCCACCTCTGCAAAGAGTTGGCTCTTACCACTGGGATCCAACACTTGCTAGAGTGGCTGACTCAACAGCATGTAAAGGTCTTGCTCTTCTACTCAAGCTTTCAAGGTATTGTAATAAGAAACGGCATCTTTTTCCTGATCTTCTTTCTCTTTATTTGGCGCTTTAAGTTACTATTAAGACTTTCTAGTTGCTCCTGACTGCACTGTAGTTCATTCACTTCTCGCAGTATCTCTGAAGACATGCTTTTAGGTACTTTCTCAGACATTATCTCTATTTTCTGATTTCTTTTTTTTTTTTTTTTTGAGACAGGGTCTTGCTGTGTAGTTGAGGCTGGCCTTGAACTCAAGGCAATCCTCCTGCCTCAGCCTCCCAAGTTCTGGGATTATAGGCATGCACCACTATGCCTGGCTTAACATTCAATTCTTGAATTCAACCTCTCTGAAGAACATAATTTTCTTGTTCATAATTCTCACAGTCATCATTTCATTATTTTTCCAATTGATTCTGCAACTCATTTTGGCCCTCCAGTAGTTGTAAACTATACTGTGCAGCTGTTAGTCACTCTTTTTCAACCTCTAAGCTTGCTTCAAAGATCTGCAATTATATCTGCCTACATGTTTTTTTTCCTATTTTTAACCTACTCTCTCCTCACTCCTTCCTCTAGCTGCTGCAGCCAGGGGCTCTGGTTCAAAGTGAAAGGATGTTAACCCTCTTATCCATTCAGGAGTCTCTGGTAAGTGCCAGGCAACTCTGTTTTGAGTAACAATCTATACAACATAATTTACTATATCTAGGGAGGTATAAGATAAATGAGGTACAAATCAAAAGAGATTCTAGCTCTGGTCTTATGACTGTGATTTTTAGACTAGGTTTTTAAAATACAAATGCCTATAAGGTGAAACAGATACTTTGTTAGGAGTAAGAAAGACAGTATGGAGACCTTAATGACCTGGAGAATTTCTGCCTGAGCTAAAGGTCCCAGTCATTAGTTTGTTCTAGTGAGCTGTTCCAAGTAGTAATAATAGACCAGTATTGCTAAAACTGACTTTTTGTTTTTGTTTTTTGAAACAGGGTCTCACTTTGTAGTACAGGCTGGCCTTGCACTCACTGTGATCCTCCTGCCTCAGGTTCCCAAGTCCTGGGATTACAGCCATGCACCACCACACCCAGCTAAAATGAATTTTTGAAGAGAAGCTGAAAATCTAATTAGTGTATGAAATCTGGAGATTTGTAATTTTGGAAATTAATTCAAAAATTCATAAACATGTATAGACCAAAAATATTATGTTTGTAGCCTGCAAACAGGTCACTAATTGGTGATGCCAGCTTTAAACAAATCATTTCATATCCCTGGGCCCTAGTTTTCTCATCTTGAAAGAGATGGCAGGTGGTGTTTAAAGTTTCTCTATTTTGACTCCAAATGAATTTATTATACAAAGATGACAAGGGAGGATATCACTTTGTAACATTTATTTCTTTTCCCTAGAACACAATGAAAAAAAGATTTCAGAAGTTATTGATAAGTCTTACTAGTTGGAAAAGTATCCACTCTAAGAGTATAACTTTTTTTTTCTTTTTGAGACAGAGACTCTGTAGTCCAGGGTGGCCTGGAACTTAAGATCCTCCTGCCTCACCCTCCTGAGTGCTGGGATTAGACTTGTGAATATAATATTTCTAGCTGCACTGAATGAACTTACTTTTCTTCATTGGCCTCTGAAGACATTCCATCCATTTTTGAAGAAAACTTTCTGTAACAAATATACAATATTAGAAAAGGTGAGAAAGAAGGAAAATATAAGCTATGAAGAAATTAAGAGCATAATTGTGATTTTAGGGTTACTTTCTAAAAAGAATACCAAAAATAAGAAGGGAAAAGCTAAAGTATGAGCTCTAAACCATGAAATATTTAAAGGACTTTATTAAACTATTGTGTTAATACTTCTAGAAATTTTTCATATTCAAGATAGATCTGTAATCAGGATATTATGTACTTTACTGGGACAAATAAAAATTTGGTCAACTTTATAAGAGATTATGGACATTATAATTCAACCCCAAAATGCAAGTCAGATATCTAAAACAGGTTTGTATCATATACATATTTATCTTAAGAAAACTGAATATAAGTACTCAGAAAAAAAATTAAGATATAAAAATAACATTTAAAATAGTGCAGCTAATTATGATTGAAATTCTACTAATGAGAATTTGCCCACAAAGAACATGAAGAAGCATAACCTGAAATGTCTTCAACTAGTCTCAACTTCTACTTACCAATAACTCGATAGATTTTCCCTTGATGCATAAATTCTAGAACCACACTTCTGGGTAAGAAAAAATGTCATTGCAGATTAAAAAAGAAGAATAGGTAGAAGTTTTGTTTTAACTATTATTAGCATTTCCACCAATCATGGTTAAGAGTATTTTTTAAAACCAATAACAGGGCCAGGGATTTAGCTCAGTGGTTCTGCCGCCTCCCTCGAAAGCCCAAGGACCCGAGTTCGATCCCTGGTATCAAAAAAACAAAAAAACCCCCAATAACAGTCAAAAAAAAAACAACCCAATAATAAACATCAACTTAATGGTTAAACAGAAAACTTTCCTTCTAAGATCAAGCAAATATTACATCGCTTTCCATTTCTATTTAATCCACCATTAACCCTTAGTACTTCTACTTCCAATACATGTTACCTCCATTCCATTCATTTCTATCTTGAGTACTACCACTTAGTTCAAGTTGCCATGATCTCTCACACAGAATATTGTAATATCTACCCCCCTGAAACCCCTGCTTTCACTCTTATTCCTCTATAGTCCTTTCTCTACACAGCAGCTAGTTATCATCTTTAAAGCATAAATGAAAGTTAAGACATTTCCTACTTAATCTTTCAATGGCTTGCCTCTTTATCAGAACCTACAAATATCTGGTCCCTGCTTGTCTCTCAGACTTCATCTCTTACCACTGTTTTCCTCATTAACTATGCTGGCCATACTAGCCTTTCTAGTCCTATGTACATAAAGATCTTTCATAAACCAACACATTTATACATTTACATTTGCTATTCTCTCTTGTCAAGAGAGAAAAGAAAAGCACTCCTGGTAGCACTGTGTATGTCTCCTTTGTAGCATTACCAGAACTGCAATTTAAAATTCTGCCATATAAATGAATTATTCCTACCATCACCCCAAACTAGCCTTTCCTTGATAATAAACTATGAGAATAGACGTGGTATGTGTAATGTTCAGTTATACCCTAGCAGTACTGTACTTTGTAAACAGTAGGAGGTCAAGAATAACCAAATATACCAAAAAAAAAAAAAAGAATAATCAAATAGATGAGTAATTAAAAAACAATTATTTGGGTGTAGTGGTGAATGCCTCTAATCTCAGCTCCAAGGAGGCTGAGGCAGGATTGCCAAGAGTTTGATTGAGGGCAGCCTGGGCTACACAGTGAGCTCAAGGCTAGCTTGGGCTACATAGCAGACCTGTCTCAAAACCACCACCCCCTCAAAAAAAATATATATATATATTCAACTTGCTCTTTTTTTTGAACTGGGAATTGATCCCCGGGCTTTGAAAATGTTAGGCAAGCAATCTATCACTGAGCTGCATTTCCAACCCTTTTAAAAAACATTTTATTTTGAGACATGGTCTAGCTAAATTGCCCAGGCTGGCTTCAAACTTGGAATCCTGCCTCAACCTCCCTAATAGTGGGGCTTACAAGGTATATACCGCCAAACTCCAGCCCAGCTTACATAATTTTGTCTCCTTTGAAAAAACTTACAAGCTCAGTCAACATATTCAAAATCCATAGAAAAAAATTGCTATCAGCTCAAGGTCACCTAACCAAGGTTGTCTGAAACAACAACTGCATCGTTCTTGTCCTGCCTACAGACCAATTAGCACTTAATTAACTGATGAAATTCAAAGCTTAAGTCACACTTTCTTAGTATTTTATTTACTACATAACTAAGTTCCATTTTCAACAGAAATAGGAAATCCCAGACTAATATGTTAAACCTCATTTATAAAACCGTCATGGCTGAACTCTTGATTGCTGCCATATTAATTGATTATCAGTTGACTCCAAAACTGCACATCAGGCACATAGGGGTGCTGCAGCATACTTACAGAGGTCTTTGGATATTTTAAATTTTGAACCATTCTTTTCTCCCACCCTCAATCTCGCCAATACTGGGGCTTGAACCCAGGAGCACTCAAACACTAAGCCATAACCTCAGCCCTTTTCATTTTGAAACAAGATCTCATTAACTTTCCTAGGCTGTCCTTGAATTTGCAATCCTCTTAACTCTGCTTCCAGGGTAGATAGGATTACAAGTGTGTGCCACTGTCCCTCCCATACAGCCATTCTTGACATCTGTCAGGCACTGCATGAACTACTGCTCACATTATATTACTCTTAATAACACTGTACGGTTATATCATTGACAGTATGAATAAAAGCAAGTACCTCTTGTCAAAGTAGTTCAGGAAGTAAGAGTGGCATTGTACAGTCTGATTCCAAGTTTTGAGAAGTTGTGCAGTGTCCAAGAGTTAATACATATCTAATTTTTTTTTTTTTTGGTACCAGAGATTGAACTCAGGGTCCTTGCGCTTGCGCAGCAGGCGGCGAAACCACTGAGCTAAATCCCCGGCCACATATCTAATTATTAATGAGGATCATTTAAGAAAAAAGTAAAAAGAGTCTTTTCATTCGATTTACACATTTTTAAAAAATGGCTACTAAGTTGTTAGGACATAAATACTCTTTAAATTATTTGGATCTACTTAATAAGTGGACTTGTTAGACCTTTCTTTTGGCCTAATGGTGCCACCTGAACCAAGAAAGTTTGGGAACCACTAGTCTAAATAACCCAGAGGGCCAGGCGTGATGGCGTATGCCTGTATTCCCTGGGCTGAGGCAGGAGGATCTCTGAGAGTTTGAGGCCAGCCTGGGCTACATTATGAGCTCAAGACCAGCCTGAACTACTTAGTGAGACCCTGTCTCAGTCAATCAATCAACCAACCAACCAACTAACCCAGAGGTCTGCAAACCATTACCAATGGGCCAAATCATCTCTGAGCTAAGAACAGTTTTTATATTTTTAATGAGTTGTAGAAAACAAAGCAAACAAGAACAGAATTAAGAATATGTAACAACATCCCAATGACCATGTATCCTGCAAAGCCTGAAATATTTACTATCTGTTTCTTTGTCATGAATTCACACTACCAAATTATCTATAGAGCAAACATTTTTTTTCTTTTTTTGCACAGTGTCCATGATATAAACTCTAGGTTTGTGCTGTCTAATATAGCATTTACCTTTAAATTAATTAAAAAGAAATAATATTTAAAATTCAGTTCTTTAGTCAAAATAGCCACATTTCAGGTACTCAACAGTCACACTGACACTGTCGGACAATGCAGATATAAAATATCACCATTATCACAGAAAGTTCTATTGGAGACCACTATCCTACTATCAATATCTACAGTCAGCACCTTCTAGTTTCTTATTTAGCATCAAATACATAATACTATCGTTTCAAACACTTTTACTCAATTTACATGTATTTGTCATCTTGTAAACATTTCCAGCTATTCACATAGTCAAGAAGAATTATACTGCTTTGAACCTAACCTTCAATTTCCCAAATCTTACAATATATTGACTCCACATTCCACCTCAGATGTGATCTTCTCCACGAAGCCTTACTTTATTCTCCATGGCCAAAAGCATCAAATCAGCTCTCTCTTCTCTGTGTTACCATTCGTCCTATCTTATATTACAATTATTTGCATATATTAACCATTTCCTTTTCTGGACTGAAAACACCGCTCCGAGCCGCCGGAGGTGTAAGACAACTGAGGAATACGACTGATCCAATTCCACTAAAGTGAAACTGACTTCAATCTTAAAATCTAGAATAAGCCTCTGCTTTGTTCTTCATCCAACAGCTTTCATCTCTGTCAACCCCTAATAAACCTATCTTTAAAATTCCAATCAGCAATCATTTTTCTTTCCAAATTCTAGTATTTAAATAAACAGCAAGAAAAGAGGATTTTAGAAAATTACTTTGTGGCACATTAATGTTGACTTTTTAACGTTATACCTGCAAACGACCAAAAAGCGCACTCAGACCCGACACTGTAAATAAGCCATGGCAAACGAGAATTTAAACATCACACACCGCTGTCAATTCATTTACAGCCAAGAAAAACTCACTTCGGAAATACAAACGCCCGGGGACCGGGAGCCTTGACAGAAGATGGCGCGACGGGCGGGCGACCGCGGGCCCCAGGGCGGGCGGAGACGAGCGGGGGAAGGGACAGCACAGCGCGAGCTGAGGCGTGGACGCCTGAACCCAGCCCCGCGGCTGCGGCAACCACCTTGGGCCTGGCGCTTTCGGAGGCCGCCTGGCTGACGAAGCGGGCCCCACCTCCCACCGTAAAGCCTTCTGTGGGTTCAGACAAAACCTAGGACTGTCCAGGAGCCCAGAATGAAAGGCTCCTCTCCTTACCCGCTTTAGTCCACCAGCTCAAATTGTTTGGGGGTCTGCGCGGCCCTCGGAAAAGACGTCACCTCTCCACACCCAGTCAGCCTCACTGAAGTGTTCAAATCTAACCGCCCAGCTGCGGCGCATGCGCACAGCCCCTCTACGTGCGGTCCCGCCCCTTGACGTCACACCGAACCCGCCTCTAAAATCCTTGCATTAAACTTCTTTGCTAGCCTCTGTGCCAGCTCGGTTTCCTTCAAGTTTACCTCGTTTTCTATTGAATTTTCTTCAACTCTCCTCACTATAGACTTCCTCACATCCCGGGAGCGGCCATCTTCTTTCAATTATCTGCTGTGGTGTTCGTAAGTAGACTTCCGTACAAAATGGCGACTTCCACAACATTGCGTCACATCCCTGCAGTGTCACTCCCTATAGCTACCAGGAAGAAAAAGGGCTCAGGGACGAGGTGGCCGAGTGGTTAAGGCGATGGACTGCTAATCCATTGTGCTCTGCACGCGTGGGTTCGAATCCCATCCTCGTCGATAATGAGATCTTTTTGCTCCACTTTTTAACCAATTAATATAAATGTAACTGGAGACTGGAAATAATTGAATATTCTGTTTCGCTTTCCAGCCTCAGTCTGACCAGACGTAAAATAGTCTAGCTCCCAGTTGAGAAGTTTCCGTTATTACGAGTCTTCTAGGGTTTTAATATGCGTCCTGATTATGAAATACCAGATTTCACTACAAAAGCCACTGCGACACCTACTGTTCAGGATTCTTTCGGGTTACAGGTACTCAAGAAATGAATATGCTAGGAAATATTTAAAAAGTGTTGACCCTGCTACTCGAGAGACTGGGGGAGGAAAATCGCAGGTTCGAGGCCAGCCTGGGAAAGTTAGCAAGACCCCGTCTCAAAAATTAAAGGGCTAGGAATATAGTTCAGTATGAAGGTCCCAGTGTTCAATTCCCAGTACCAAGGGAAGGGAGTGTTGAATGAATTGTAAGCCTTTGTATTGTTTAGAAAACCAGAGCCATTCCAGCACTCGGGAGGCTGAGGCAGGAGGATTGCCACGAATTCGGGGCTAGCCTGGGCTACAGAGTGAGTTTAAGGCCAGCCTGAACTACACAGTGAGACCCTGTCTAAAAAAAAAAACCAGACTGAAGACAACTAGGAACATGGCCTCCTTCCCAGAGGATGGGAAAAGCCGTTAAATCCTCTCCTAGATTCAGCCTGAGATGGAAGAACCAGGAGGAACAAAGTTCAAGAAAAGAGTAGATTCCCTTCTTGCAAGGTTACTGAGGCAGAGTCATTCAGTCCACACTATACCACTTTATTAATCCAGCTCTTATCTATAGGTGCCACACGTTCCATGAGTTACATCACTTTGACCTACCATGGGCCTGTGATCGCAGTAGATATTATTTCACAGGTGAAGATCCTGAAAGATTAACTTGCCCAAGGTTGTACAATTTCTAAATTGCAGAAAGGAGACTGGAACTCAAATCTGTCATACTCTTGTGCCCTTTAACTACCATCCTACCTGGTGCTGCATCGTTCTATTATAGGGCAGGCTGATAGGCTCTTTCCCCCGTGAAGTGTCCTGCAGCACAGTACTGTAGAGCCCAGCACAGGACAGCTGCCTTTGCAAGGTTTGGGGATGGTGGGAGGCAGCAGTGCTTCTCTGCTGACTCCACGAGATTCTTTCTTAGATCAGATCCCCAGGAAATGATGCCTTCATCAGCTGAGGACTTTAGGTCGCCTGTCTTCAGCCTAGCTCTCCCAATTCATTCTGTACCCTGCTGCTAGGAAGGGTTTCTATTCACCTATTTATGTCCCAAACATCATTCATTCCTAAGGGTTGGTGGATAGAACCGGGGTCGGGGGTTGTTGGTTGTTTTGTTTCTGGAGACTGAACACAAGGCCTTGCACTGAACTACATCACCAGTGCCTCCCCACCCCTGCTTAAATTTTTTTTTTGAGACAAGGTATCACTAAATTGTCATTAAATTGCCCAGGAGGAGTTTAATCTTGTGATCCTCTTTTTTTGTTGTAGTTACTGTGTACTTCAAACTGGCTTTGAACTCACAGCAATCCTCTTGCCTCAACTTCCCAAATGCTGGGATTATAGGCATGCACCACCACATCTGGCTAGTGATCCTTCTGCTGCAGCCTCCCACAGTGGTGAGTTTACAGGCATGCACAATCAGGCCTGCCTAGTGGCTGTTTGATTGAGGGAAGAGATTACACTCTGATTTTCGCTAATAACTTTTGGGGGGGGGAAGGTGCTATCAGGGATTGAACACGGGACCTTGTGTTTGTGAGGCAGGTGGCGGCACCACTGAGCTAAATCCCCAGCCCCAACACTCTGATTTTCATACTCTAATTGAAAGTACTTCCTAGATAAACAAGAAAGTATAGTAGTATTAACCTTAATTTTTTACCAATAAAAATCAGATACTTCTATATCACAGTACTATTACTGCTTTAGGCTTATGATATGAGCATGACCCCAAAGTTCACGTGATAGAACTCTGGTCCCTGATGCAGCAGTGTTAAGAGGTGGGACCTTTGGAAGGTGAGGCAGGGCCCTTGTGAGAGGATGAAATCCTCACGGGCTAACGGGTTGTCATAGGAGTGGTTCTATTATAAAAGTCACTTCTCTGGCAGGTTTGCTCTGTCGGGCCCTCCACCATGTTATGGCATAGAGAGAAAACCCTCACGGGATTTCCCAGCTTCTAGAACCAGGAACCAAATAAACCTCTATTTATAAATTACCCAGTCTTAGCCCGGTGTGGTGGTACATACCTGGGATCCCAGCACTCAGGCTAAGGCAGAAGGATCAAAAGTTTGAGCCCAGCAGGGTAACTTAGTGACTTAGTGAGACCCTGTCTCAAAATTAAAAATTAAAAGAAGGGCTGTAGATGTAGCTCAGTGCGAAAGCCCTGAGGTCAAACTCCAGTACTACCATTACAAGCAAAAAAAAAAAAAAAAATTACTCAGTCTCAGGATTTTGGTTTTAGTCACAGAAAACAGAGGAAGACAATGCTCATCACTATGTCAAAATTATGGTAGTTACTAGACTTACTATTAGATCTTGTGATGTTATGTGTTCATGAAGAAATACATATATTACACTATTATTGAGCCAGGCATGGTGCCGCACACCTGTAATCCCAGTACTCAGGAGGCTGAGGCAGGAGGATCACCATGAGTTCGAGGCCATCCTGGAATACATAGTGAGTTCAAGGTCAGACTGAACTACATAGTGAGAGACTCTTGTCTCAAAAAGCCAAAATTAAATAATTAAATTACACTATTATAATGCAAACTTAAAAACATTTTGATAGTTGTATTATAGTATACTTTGTTGCCTTTGTATTCCAACATAGTTTTATGGATTTATAAACAGCTTTCTCCTGGAGATGTAGCTCGGGTAGAGCACTTGCTTATCATGTGCAAGGACCTGGGTTCAATCCCGGTACTGCAAAAACAAAGCAAAACAAAACATAAACTTTCTGAGAAGAGATACATGGGCTTCACTAGATTGGCAAAGGGATCTGGGTTACAAAAAAGATTAAGAGACATTATTATTATTATTATACTTGGGCTTGAACCCAAGTCTTTTGTTTTGTTTTGTTTGGTACCGGGGATCGAACTCGGGTCCTTGCAGTTGCGCAGCAGGTGAAACCACTGAGCTAAATCCCCGGCCCTGAACCCAAGTCATTACCTGAGCTAAATTCCTACCCTGCTCCCTTCATTCTTTAAGTTTGTTTATTTTTGTTTGATTGTTGTTGAAACAGAGTCTCCAGTGTAGTTCAGGCTGGCCTTGAACTTGCAAAGATCTTCAGATTACATGCATTAGCATTAGCATCCCCAGCCTTTTTTTTTCTTTTTTTGGTAGCAGAAATCAAACTCAGGGACTTTTGCTTGCCAGGTAGATGCTGTGCCAATGAGCTACATTTCCCGTGCCCCCAGCCTTTTTTTTTTTTGAGACAGGGTCTCACTGAATCCCTAAATTACTCAGGTTGGGCTCTAACTTTCGATCTCCTTCCTCAGCCTCCCAGTGCTGGGATTACGGCACATACCATCACACAGGCAGAACCTTCTGAAATCACCAGGGGACCTTTCCCTGAACCTTTTACCTTTCCATAAACCAGGGCTGGTCTGGCAAGGGTCTACCGTACCCTTGCAGATGCTAGCCCTGCTCACCTGCTGGAACAGGCAGAGCTGCCCTCCACCCCAGCCTGTCTCTGGGTTGCACCTGCTCATCCCCAGCAACAAACTCCCCCAGCCTTGCAATCTGCAGCCCTCTCCACCTCCCTTACCAGTCTCTGTACCATCACTTGCCTCTCTCTGGATCTGTAGATGCTCCCATTGCCATTGGGTATTTTCCCAGCAGGCGGGCTATGTGGAAATCACAAGCTCACTTGAGATCAGCAGGGCTGCACCACTTTCTGATCTTTGCTAGCTTCTTGCAATGATGACTTCTTATGAAAAATTGGAAAGGACTATCAGTGGGTCCAGTTTCTACAAATGGAAGGTGTGTGGATTGTTTTCTTTAAAAGAAGTCTCAGGTGAGTGTGGTGGCACATGCCTGTTATGCCAGCACTCTGAGAGGCAGGAGGATAGCAAGTTTGAGGCCAGCCTGAGCAATTTACCAAGACCTAAAAGACCTCTGCCTTTCCCCCTGTCCCCCTTCCTTCCCCCGCTTGATCCCATGAAGATCTGGTGCCAGAAGAATTGAAGACAGCATTCTCCGTGATTAGCAGATCGAAAGTCATTTGCAAAGGAGTTTTCTAGTGGCTGACTAGAGACATTCTGCACAAATTTGAACTTCAGGGACACTTTTCAGAATTTTCAGACAGTAGGATTTCAATAGTCAGACTTAACAATCTTTCCCACTTGGAGCCAACGCTTCAACTTCTGGGTGTGAAGTTTGATAATATGGCCCAAAGCATCATCACAGAAAAGCCTGGAACAGAAATAAAACTCTTCAGAAAAGAAAGAAAAGTGAG